GCCATCATCTACGTTATCAAGAAGAACGATGATGGCTGGTACGAGGGCGTCATGAATGGCACTACAGGTCTCTTCCCTGGCAACTATGTGGAGTCCATCATGCACTACACAGAATGAGGCCTGAGCCAACACTACCCAGGCGCTAATGCTAGCACGCATGGGTCTGCACACAGATATCCATAAAAGCAGATGGGTATGTTCAGACATGGGCGATCTCAGTTCAGTGGTCGAGAAATGTTGAACGTTGACACTTTATGGACTGTGACAGCTTTTCACCACAGACTGATACAAGGGGAAGAAATACACTATTAGAATACAACAAATTCCATTAATAACAATAAATCCCAGTGTTTACTGTTATGTTGGATGAAGGATTCTGAGCACAACCACTATTTTCCTCTGTTTGACTAAGATAAAAAAATAATGAAGTAGTTTTGTGGTTGAGGACGAGATATTTCACATACTAAAGACGAGGTGCTCACGGTGGTGAATCTCCCTCTTTATTTTGGTATAACTCTATTTTTGACTCTAAACGTCCTCAGCACAGTGAGTTCTGGGGTCTTGTACGGGGTTGACCGATGTCTTTGTAAGGGCAAGTGAGCTAGGTTTATACGGAAAGCAGCTGAAAAAGGGAAACACTCATATTCAGAAAGCAGGAGGCCAGTGTCAAAAAGGAGGGAAGGACTGCAGTAGAATGCAAAGAATGAAAGCAGAGGAAAGAGGGAAAAATACAGTATTTTAGTGAGTTTTGTGGTTGTCCATTGAACACATGTATTGGTTTAAATCCTTGATTCTGTGCTTTTTGCCTAACAGAAATCTGTAATTTCCATGTATTCAACAGGCAGCGGTTATCCGATTAGATTTTGGCATGGAATAACTCCCTTAGCTGGCCACCAAAAGTAGCCAGATTTTAGACATTAATCTAATCTAGCTAAAATCAGATTGGGTAACTTTTGATAAAACTGGCTCCAGTGGTTATGATCGCTGTTGAGCAACAACTTCTCAAGACAGGAATAAGTGTTACATAATCACCACATATTTATTTTTTTTTTTTTTGGTTTGGTATCTTCCACAACTATAAAATGCCCAGAGAGCATAAAGAAGAGTGCCAGCTTTCACTTTATGTAAGACAGACATGTTGAACTCTTTTGCAATAGCAGTGTTAGAAAGGGCATTAGTTCCCTTAGATGGCAAGCGCAAATGAGAAGTTCAGAATGGGCAAGCCTGAGAGAGAGAAGAGGAGAAAGAAATATTGAACTATTTGCACAAAGATTTTCACCCTCAGCCCCCTTAACTTCATCTTGGAGTGTCCATTTATAAAGCTGGTGTATTTTGCTGCTGAGCTGTGGCCGCATAACCTGCTTGTTTCTAACACTAAAGTAAGAAATCGGTCAGCCCCAAAACATGCAGTACTAAATAGTGTCCTCATCAGCTTTGCTTTGTGTATTTTTTTTTTCTCTTTTTTTAATTATATATATTGTGTAGTGATGCTAACAAAATGGCCAAGTTGGTTTTTGAGATGTTGTGTAGTGCTACATAAATTGCATGCTCAATAAAAATCAAACGTCATGTTATTTTAATTTCACATTATTTTTCTCATCTTTTGAGTTTTGACATTTTTTTTTTTTTAATTTCTCATCAGCAGGTCATACAGCTGCTAGGAGTTTTCAGAGTGAATATCCAGTCGGGTGCTAATGAAGTATATTAAGTATATTTTTGTGCCATATTGTAATGTTACAATGCCTATATAATGCTTGACAACTCTCACCAGTAATCAACTCTCTGTACCTCGTTCGTTGTCTAACACGGTTTGGCTGATGTTTAGAGATCTCCTCTGGATTACAGCTGGGATACGTAGTGTCCGATCACCAGTTAGAGTCTGCATCAGTGGAATATACATTGTTGTAAAAAAGGGAGGGTAATGCCAGGTTGGAATAGCAATAAAACAGCAGCACAGTCATATTCCTTACTTGGGTTTGCAATAATACCTGATGAATTGAGATGTTTAGAGATGCTATTTTGTATTTGTTCATCACAGAAAGCACATAGTTTTGAAGATAATAAAAAGCAAAGCAGGCAGACACATGGAGTATATTTATATTTGAGATAGGCTGGCCATTCTCTTAAAACTGAAGTCATAACAGAGATTTCTTGGTTTAATTTTGCAGCTTGCAAAGATTATCAGAGTATGCAGTTGTACACAGACTGTAAGTATATACAGAGATATATATCTAAATAAAAATGTATATTTTGGGTAGGGATGTGTGTGTATATAAATATATATATAAAATAATTGTTTGTGTATACTTACAGTGTGTATATATTGTAAGTATATACAAATAGATGATTTTGTGTATATATATGAAAATTTCCATTATGTGCGAGAGTGCAACTGTGAAGGTGCAATAGCCATTACTGTGTTGATTTTTTCCTTCATTTCTTTACAAAGTGAACTGATTTACTCAGTATTTGCATGTTGCTGTTCTGTGCATTCGTTCATAAGTACAAAGTGTTCTAGTGATGATGCTGTTCTAGGATCCTCCTGCCCACAGTGTGCTCATTCCTGTTATTCCTGTTACCAACAACAGGGTCCTAAATCAGCACTCTTACTCAGGCATTTTGTACATCTGCTCTCTTCAGCTTATAAACTAGCACATGTCAGAGTGTGAGAAAACTCCAAAGCAGTGCTTAACACAAGCCTGTCCAAAATGGGACCACTAACATTGCGGCTCAGCATCGGAGGGCATTATCCAGACCAAACAGGACACCGAAAAAAACAACTGGATAAACTGTATGATAATAAAGCTGTTGGAAATGATTGTGTGGCTGTATGTATGTAATATTTCATGTTTCTTTGCATTTACAAAAAGCAATTAATATATGTTATATATATTAAAAGGAACACTCACTGCTATCATTGGAACACCACTGAAAGCTATGTAGATGTTTTAAAATGTACACATTTCATCATGCAGTGAAACGTGCACGCAGATCTAAACTCTTTTTTTTTTCCTAAAATTTTTAACTGAACAAGACTTCATTGCTTCAGATACGCTTCATCTTCCTTTTGGCTTATATAACTTGGCAGATATTGCACTCCAGATGGTCAGAGACAGTAAGTAAGATTGTTGGAGGGTTTCAGACTCTCAGGCCCACAGGCTGTTGGTGTTTAAAACTGGAGAGGGAAGTGCTTTTAGTCTGCAGTTAATCAGCAGAGTCAAGGCAACATGGAGAAAATCTATTAAAACATACATTGAAGTATTTTCCCGTGACAATCAGTTAAGAGTAGCATATTAAAACAACACCAGAAGTAAGAATGTAAGAATTTATATATAATCATTGTATATAATCATTATTTCTCAACCTTTCCAAAAGTGGAACTCCATTAACAAACAACTATCCAAACACACCTTAGCCGCCTTACCAGCTTACTTTTTTGTATGCCTCTAAAATTTCCTAAGTACTGAAAAATATTGATAAAATAACATTTGCACAAGACTTTTAAACAGTGTATTGCAAATATTAAGCATTTACTATTTATATAAATTATTTTAAATTAACTAAGTTATGGTGCTGTTGTTTTGAAAGTGCTTTTATTTAATGAATTACTTTGCCTGTGCTATGATTACTATGGATTTTCTGTTCTATCTTTAGGATTTTTGTTTGTAAGTGCAAAACATAAAGGCCTATAGTCTTAGACTGTAGTCATCCCTCATATGTCACGTTTGAAAAATACAGAAATGATCAATGATCACAAACTAGCTAAAGGTTTTTTTGTTTGTTTGTTTCTTTGTTTCTTTGTTTGTTTGTTTGGATTTTAACCCAATTATCTCCCCAATTTAGTCGTCGCCAATTCCACCCGCTAGTTAGGACTCCCCCCAATCACACGGTACTATCAACGCTAGGAGGGTGAAGGCTAACACAGGCTTCCTCCGAGACCTGTGAAACCAGCCACCGCTTCTTTTCGAACTGCCGCTCAACGTCACTGGACAGCTGAACGCGCTCGGAGGAAAGCGCCAACCGCCAGATCTGTTACGTCAGCTAACAGACGCCTGCGCTGACTAGCATCGCGCTGAGTGATGGGGGGAGAAGGAGGGGCCATCCCACCCACCCAGAGAGAGCGAGGCCAATTGTGCTCTCTCGGACTCCCGGCTACGGATGGCTGTAGCATCACCCGGGAACTCGCGATCTGCTGATGACAGGTTAACATTATGTACACATGCTAAAGAGAAATTACAGTATGTATTCTGTACAGTATCTATCTACCACTAATCAGGTAGCATCCGTTTTAGTTATAAAAAAAGAAAAGAAACTTCAGGTCACCCAGATCTTAATACCTCATGGTTGTATAACCTGCTGTGTACAATTTCCCGGTCAGAAACCAGAGACTAACAATTTACTTGATTGCTGCTGTCTGACCTGCTGTTTAACATCACCACATCATAATTAAAAAGAAGATGCACTCAGAAACAAACACAGAGAATGACACATATATATTATTATTAATATTGTGAATCAAATAAACAAGACAATACATGACTGTATGACAAACCAGCACATTTAACACTTCCATTTGTGCACTGCACCTCACTGGCCTTTCCTATAATTGCAAATGGTCAACATTCTTGAGGCAAAGTCTGCACAGTGCACACTGATTTTATTTATTTTTCTGCTCTTCTACTCCATCAGCGCTCTCCCTGCTGGATGAATATTGCATTATGTAAGCAGATCTTAATTATGAAATTAAATGATCAGCCTTCCCACTACAGTTGACTGTTTATCTGAACCACAACATCTGCAGGCAACTTACAAGGCTTCATCAAAATTGCAAGGCATTCATTATGTGGTTAATTCTATGGTTGGCCATGTCTGTTAGTCTGACTGCTAGCCTTGGGGCACTGTGTGTATTCAGCCCTGCCGTGAAGGGCACAAAATATAGCTCCTCTTCTGGGACACAACGAAGTGCTGAGCTTTACTGATGAGTGCAATCAGACGGGATGATGACATCAGCCTCGGTTATACTGGTTTTCTTACCGTGTTTGTGCATCTCAGGTAGGTGAGAACACTGACAGCTTTGCACTCTTCACTTAGGGGTGTGATTTGCAAATACAAGGTGTGCAGTTGTAAAGGTATTGCTGCAAACATGACAGTTTTAGGTACCACCACAACAGTGGTCTTCAAAAAACACCTCAAAGCCACATCTATAAAAACAATGTTTTTGCATGAAGAATTATGTTCTTAATGCATATGTCCAAAGGTTTGTAGACACCTGCTCATCTAACATTTCTTCTGAAATCAAGGGTACTAGGGAGTCAGTAATTCTACTCCTCTGGGAAGGCTTTACACTAGATGTTGGAACATTGCTGTGAAGATTTGATTGCATTCAGCCACATGAGCATTAGTGAGGCCAGGGGCTGATGTTGGACGATTAGATTTAGATCACAAATGCCTCTCCAACGGATCCCAAAGCTATTGGATGGGAATCAATCACACCAGAAAATGCAGTTCCACTGCTCAACAGTCCAATGCTGAGGGGCTTTAAACCCCTTTAGCTGACACTTGGTATTGGGCATGGTGACCTTAGGTTCATGTGCAGCTGCTTCAGAGCATCCTATTCTGTTCACAATGCTTTTCTATTGAGATTATTCCAGCTTATGAACTAATTAGAAAGGCTGTCTGGATACTTTTGGACATATAATTTAGGATAAAGAAAATCATACTTAATGTAAACTTGTTTTACTCCTGGAGGAACCGTGTCAATACTGAGTTCTTGAATGGTGCTTTAATGATATATTTAGCAAGCCTAATTTCTTCTGTCAGGCTCGGTTAAGTCCCAAATGTAATAGGACTTAGTAAACGACTCCCTTTAGGACCCTGGAAAATGCAGTTAAAGCAAACTGTTAGAGTCGCTACAGAATGGTGCCTGTTTCAATGCTCTTCTGCAAACATTACAGCAACTCTCTTCACAGGACTACCTGTGCTGAGGCATAACCTTGGGCTTCTAGCAGACTTGGCACTGAGGGCATCTGTTACTCAAATAAATGAGCGTTCTCCCTCCTCCAACCTGTACAGGGCAACCAACCAGTCTGTTAAACAGGTGATTCTAATGGCTTTGTTTTCAGTGTGTTTGGGGAAATATGAAACTCAGATAGGAGACTCTGTCTCAGATACGAGAGCAAAAGTCTTAGAACTTCATCTAAACCATTGTTGATAACACAATCTACAGGAGGCTGATGCCCTCTGGTGGCTTTTGAGAGTAATGCAGTTTGCAAAAGCCAAAGGTTCAAAACATTACACATTCAAAACAGTAGTAACTAGTTATATTTTGTCCGTTACATGTACTATTTTGATGGATTTGTGCTTTCTGAGTATTTCCAAATGAGAATACTTTTACTTCTGCTTGAATACATTTATGAGGAAAGGAATGACAGATTTGACTCAGACATTTAATGAACATTCACATTAGTTACTAATTCCTTTATTTGGGTTTAATTTTCATTATGTTAGATGGGTGAAAGTGCCTATACTTTAGGTTTATCATTTTATTTCAGATAAAGAGCACATGAAAAAGAGAAGAATAGTGCCTGACAAACTGAAGTTCCTATGCACATAGATGCTGGATGTATTAAGAAGTTCTACTGCAGTCCTACATGCTCCTTAGTACTTTAGTATTATGACTCAAGTCATTATTTGGAAAGGGACCTTCACTTCTACTTGAGTCAGTATTTTCCAGTAAAAATACTTTTACTTCTACACACCACTAGTTTAATGACAATATCTACTGTTTGTTTTGTTTTCCAAGATCAAGCTGGTAGACTTCAATACTTATGACTTTGTTCTTAACTTTGGTCTAAGAGAGACAGCATGTCTCAAACATCAGCCGGGATTCCCAGACAGGTGTCCTTTCAGCCTGAGACTGTTCAGAGTAAGGCGTACTCTTCCTTTTAATAATAAACAATACATTTTCTGACCAATATGTGTGTTTTCTCTACAACTTTACTATGAAACATACCTGATAGACACATCATATGTTCTCTCTGCTGTCCAGACTGTTCAGTGCTCCAGTTATGTCCGTGTTTCTGGTGAGATAATTTCTCTGCTGGATCTCAATTGTGGACCGAAGGCAGTGAGCTCGAGCTCGGAGTCCAGCAGTGAGGAGAGGATCCCACAGCAAGCACAAAAGGACAGGTGGAGGGTCTACACACTAGGAGTCATCATCTGCCAACAAATTCTTAGCTGGGGCTGTGATTAGAGAGAACTCTCTGAAATAAAAGGAAAACATATAACCAGAGCGCTCACTGAGTTTAATATGTGCTCAGGAAATTCAGCGACAGGAAGTATTTTTTTTTTTATTAAAGCAAAAAATATGAGATTTGGTGACAGAAATTTAGGTTTTTCTGGTTTTCTAAAAATTCTTAGAAGGTTTTTTTGTAATTAAAGAAAGAAATACACAATTCAGCAATAAGGGTTTTTTTGGAAATACAGTTATGGCAAGATCAGTAACATAATTTGAAGGTTACACACAAAGGAACATCTAAGAATTGAATAAATTATTTAAAAAGGTTAAAACCTAAGAAAACATGAACAGCTTTCAGCATTTGCAAGATGACATTAGATCTAGACACCTGTTTCATTTAGATCACTATTATGAGCATCATTGCCAAGTAAAGGAGCATGTAAGATAGTTAACAACACCATCTGTCTGTTGAGTTGAAACTTTTGAAGCCATCAGAAACACTTTTCAAACACGTTTGTCCTCATACAATGTCATTTACTTCACAGAACATGTCATGTTGTGAATACTGTCATAAGCTGTTCATAAATACCTACATACTGGTGTTTAAATACGCAATGCTTATGAATCCGTTATGAAGTCCTTATGTAGAAATGAAAGAAATACAGAGCAATACAGACAGAACAGCCACCAAATTCAGTGCCTCAATGTCTTAATGTCACTCACTGTCACTCACTGTGCTGCCTTAGCGTTTGATTGATGATGTCTTATAGAGTTCTGTTTTTTTCTACAAGCCTTTTTTACATCAGTAATAAGAACTTGTTTCATGCTGGGATAAAAAATGAAATTAAAGAGACAAAGCATTTACTGGTTAACTAAAGAATAAAAGCGTTTCAAATTGAAAAACTGATGTTCTGTTTTTCTTCATTTTTTGCTGAGGGGATGAAAAGGTCATAGGTTATGTTCTAACATCTACCACAAGACGAGAAATAGTCTTCTTTATGAATGCAGTCTAGAGACTCAGAAGCTCTGCCCAAAGTGCAAAATGCATATCCCACAAATACACGCACTATGCTTAGAAAGGCAACTATGAGCTCCCCTTCAAATCAGATTAAAACCATCACACATGCATAAAAACAACACACGGAAGAAAGCACTGGGACAGTTTACTGCAGGAGCTACACATTTATATTGTTCAGTTTAAATGCAACAGACAATAACTTTCCCGTGTATTTTATCTAAAATACTCCTGACTTTAACAACCATCATTAGCACTGTTCACTCACAGCTACGATGGTTGCTCTACTTTGTTCCTTAGAACAGACGTAAATTAGCTAGGCCAATAACTTTTAGAAGCAAGTTGAATATCTGTGGCTACAGATAAGTTAAAAACACAGTGCTCTTACAGGGTCATGTGGTCAGATTTGAACTAAACAGGTAAAAAAAACACCTTTCTCTGTTCCAAAAGCTCTCAAACTGTTCGCATCAACAAAAGTGACGTCAACTGCCCATATATCAAGTGTCTCAGAGAAGCACAGCCTCCTGATGTCAGATCAGCTGATTACTCTCAAGAGTAATCAGTACAAGACGATGTGAAAAGGCTTTTGACTTTGAAACAAAGATATGTGACCCAGATATGAGAAGTGCTTTGAGGGCAGTGGTAACATAAAGGCAATGCAAAAGCAGTCCACAAGTGAAAAGAGAATTTCGTCCTGTGAGCCACAGAGCTAACAGAAGCTGTTAAAGTCAGGAACAACTGCAGTATGTACAGATAGATAGCAATGTAACCAACATAAACAGACAGAAAACATCCAATCTCAGACACAGCAGGGCTACAGAGCCCCACACACTGTAAGTGGGTTCATTTTCATCATGTAAAGGAAGGGTTTAATCAGATTAACTGTGTTTCTTTTCTCAATAATGAATTTTCAATTATTATGATAGGTTTTCAACCATTTAGCCGCATTACAGAAACATTTCCAATTACTTCATTCAGAACATATGCAACAAATCAACCTTGAAATTCTGGACTTGCTTATTTGATAGTGAGTAAGTGAAGCAAGGTTACCAAGCCATTGCTTTTTTTTCTGAGAGTGGATCAACCTAACCACTCAGACAAAATGCACACATATACACATCTCTTCTTCAACCCTGATTTCTATTCACGTTTAACGCATACAGTCAAGGGTTTAAAAACTAAACTTTGAAATAAGAATATATTTCAGGTATTAAATAATTTCATATAAAAAATGGTAAAAGCACCCTCCCCACCCCAAATTTCCAGATACATCTTTTATTATACATACATAATCCCCTTTCCTCACGATGGAGTCCATGCAGTACCTATGTATAGTAACGGCAGAGTCTCTTTTTGTCGCTTTTGTTGTTTTTGTATAACTGCTTACACGTAATTGCAAAGCGGCACAAACACGCAGAGAAAGCTTATACTGTAGGTGATTTGGCTTGCTTTTTTCATACTGTGGTAATAACTGGGGCTAAAATGAGGAATAGTATTCTTCTCAGTCGTTCTCATGTTGTGGCCTGCAACAGCCGGCGGAGTTTGAATGGAGAAGAGCACACAGCTTTAGGCGCATGCCATGATCTACCACTCTCTGGTCAGTTTGGTGTTTTGGTCCCGTTTTGGAGGCGCCGGGGGAGGCCCGCGCCGTAACGTTGCATAGCCTGAGATGTTGGCGCCCGTGTAGCCGCCCTTTTTCTGCTGGCCCAGCAGCAGCTCTGGGGGAGGAGGCGGGAGGGCCATGTCGTCCATAGTGGCCACAGGCTCCAGCTTGGTGGAGATGCGGGAGGAGGTGAGGGAGCCGTGCCTGGACATGGATTTCCTCTTTAAAGTCCTGTTGAGGTCCTCGAGGAAGTTGGGCTGGATGGAGAGGTTGCCCTTAGGTGAGGTGGGGGGCATTTGAGAGTTGAAGGGAGTGAGGGGGATCTGTTGGGGCGGTGGAGAAAGGGCCAGAGGCTCGGGGGGTCCACTGCTTCGCCGCTGAATAGTGGGAGGAGGCGTCTTCCTCATGGAGCTCTGTTTCCATGACGATGTGTTGGAGGACAGCTGTGGCTGGGGGTTGACCACAGCCACTTTTGGAGCTCCAGCGTGAAGCTCCATGGGCGGAGGAGGAGGCAGGAGCTCAGAGTCTGGAGGAGGAGGGGGAAAGTCACACTCGGGTGGTGGTGAGGGGAAGTCTGAGTTGGGCTGTCCAGATTTCCCCTGCAGAGCCAGCGGCAAGTGAGCCAGGTTGATCTTGCCTGGTTTTGTTGGTGCTCGAAAGCTTGCAGAAGAATCCTTGGATGGTGAGCCTGTTGTAGAAGAGGGGGTAGAGAAGGAGCTGGAGGAAGGCTGACCGGGCTGAGCAAACATGCTCACCAGATCTTCCACCTTTTTTGACTCTTGGTACTCGATGGAGCTGGTAGACTTTATGCTGGAGTTTCGCTGCGGAGTCGGAGGAGGCCTCTTGCCTGCTGAACCAGTTGACGAGTTGGAAGAGGTGGAAGGTGATTTCTTGATTGGTGACCCCATCTTGGAAGGAGGAGGGCTTGGTGCAGGAGGTGGTGGTGGTGGAGGAGGAAAGTCCAAGCTGCTCTCAGGAGGAGGAGGGGGGAATTCAGGAGATTGTGGCTGAACCTGCCCACCTGGTTGCCATTTGGGTTTGGCTTTTACGACTGGAGGGGACACAATGCTTTTTGAAGCATCCAGAGCTCCAGGGAACTGGTTTGCAATCTGTTTCACCAGTGATGGTGTTGGGGAGATGGCGGTAGACAAAGGCGGTGCTTTTGAGGAGAAGCTGTGCTGTTTTGGCAAGGTGGGTGGAGGCTGGCTGGGGCTATGGCCTCCAGAGAAGCTTTGCTGCTTCTTCATGGAGGTGGTTGTTGGGGTTGGGGACACAGGAGGAGGTACAGGAGAGACGGGAGAGATGCAGTGTCCAGGTCCAGATGGTTTGGGGGCAGTCTGGGGTGGAAATCCTCCAGTAAAGGTTTTAGGTGGTGCAGGTGGAGGCCCTGACCCGTGTTGAGGAAGTGGAGGAGGAGAGAAACACACTGGAGGTGGAGGTGGAGGTGGCTCCTCATCCTGGCTGAGGGGAGAAAAGTCATAGCTCATATTGGGAAACTTCTGAGCAAGGAACTGCTGGAGGCCATTGGTGCTGAGGGGTGGGGGGTATTTAAACTGCTCCGGTGGTGGTGGAGGGGGCAAGATTCCATTGCTCTGCATGTGATCAGGTGGAGGCAGGTGTTCCTCCTCTGGAGGCGGTGGATGGGTAAACTGTGGCTGAGGGCTTGGGGGGCCTAACTTCAGTACTGCCATGGCAGAGCCAGGCATGGGCATGGTCAGAGGGGGCGGGGGTGGTGGTGGAGGTGGGCTGTTAGCAGCTGCTGCTACATTGTTCATTGTTACTGGTTTTGCACACTGCGGGGGAGGGACTGGGGGCTGCAGCTGCTGCTGCTGCTGCTGTTGTACTGCTGCCACTAGAGGTGTCTGTTTGTAGTGATTAGGAGCCTGGGAGATGTTCTGCAGCCTGGCGATGGTGCTGTACTTGGTGAACATGGTGGGCGTAGAGTGGTAGGTAGGATTGGGCAATGGAGGAGGAGGTGGAGGTGGAGGCGGAGGTGATGGTGGAGAAGGAGAAGACTGGGCTGACACGCTGGGGTAGCTACCATGGGATAGGGCAGCTTGGGGCATCTGAGGCATTTGGGGCAAATGGGGAAGCTGAAGAGGATAAGAAGCTCTAGAAGGCTGTGTAGGTGGAGGTGGATCCATTCTCATCTATAGAAGAGAGGAAGAACAGACACAGTTAATATGCATGTTAGAATGTTTTATACACTGCAAAAATGGTTTATTGGCAAGTAGAATTGTGTTAAATCTAGTCAATATAGCTAATATACCTCACTTTGAGATTGTTGTAAGCTTATAATAAGATTTAACTTATTTCCTGACATTTTTACTTGTTTTGAGTAATTTTATTAAGCAAAATAATCTCACAATATTGGCAGATAATTTTGCTTATTTTAAG